TGACAGATGTACCCGGGAAGTCCGTCTCCATTCTTTCCTTTAACTGCCTCAACGTGGTTGTGGGTTTCTCATCTACAACATCACAAAATGCTTTGTGAACTCGTCGTTGAATTTAGTCTATAAGATCCAAGTCTTAGTGTTATTCAGGGAATAGGACGAGTAAATTTCTTTCCAGACTCTCATCACTTTCCATATGGCTACTTCTGTCAGTACGTTTACTAAGACGGCAACCATAGATCATAAAATTCAGTGATTGAATATGAACACTTTAAATGACGGTTATATTTTTACCACCATCGGCCCCTCCCCCTAGGAACTACTACCTCTGTCTCTCGGTGGCAAAACAACCATTGATGATCTTCTGTGGTGATCGTGTAACGAGTACGCACGCACCAGGTAAAGCTTCCAAGTAACCAGTCAATAAACGAAATAACCGACCAATCCTGTGGTCCCAATTGGCACCAACCGGATGACTAAATGCAAGAAGGCAAACAAATACACCATATCCTTGTCGATTGGACACTGAGGAATCGATCAATGATTGTTTACTGCTTGTGATATATATTTGTATGATTTTCTGAAGAGAATTAACTGTATCCACAGCTCGTCTTTGTTCTACCTGACTTTGCGTTATTCAGTGGGTTTTCAGTCCGATTCCGAGTTCGCGCTATTCGATTTCGATTCCTATTCCGAGTACTACATCTTCTGTGACTGTTCTTCCTCGAAGTCAATCGACACCATTCTGCTGTTAGAACGGAAAACAGTTTTGGTCCAATCAATAGTTCCATTCAAGAGGAATCGAACTACACAGATAAACGGACAGACACATTCACATGCGTTATTATCAAAATGTTCTGGGGTTGAAGGCGGGAGAGAGAGATACTAGTTATTCCAGTCTCCCCAACCCCCCTCATGTGTTGTTCATCTTCACTGATCACTAGGATTCACGTCAATGTACATTTCGCAGCAAAAAGGAAATGCGAAAAAAACGGAAACAACCAAGAGTGAACAGAACGCAGCCAAATTGTGGACTGCGACAGCTCAGGTCACGTTGGGCCAGTATACAAACGTACCGGATCGACATTATTCGACCAAATGGATCGGGGGTTCGAACAATGGAGGAAAAAGTATCACATACACATACCTGCACATACGTAGGAAATCACAACTGTTTAGAAACGTGTTCTTCGGGGGTACTTTAATCGTTGTTCGGATGCCTGTTCGGGAGATGGACAGTTGACGTATGTGAATGTGAAAAGATTTGATGGACGGAAACATTAATTCAGAGTTTGAATTCAACTGTGTTGTCATCGTTTGGTTCACACACAAATCGAATCACACGTCTATTCGGCTGCCGATGGGTCCTCTTCCTCACCCATTTCCGCTTCGCCATTCATTTCCTCACCTTCTTTTTCTTCTTCCTCCACGGATGCCTGGTCTTCTTCTTCATCTTCCAATTCAACATCGGCCTGCAGAATGCGAGCAAAACATTTAAAATGTTTCGGTTAGTCTGAGTAACATAAATCAATTTTATCATTTCTCAATTGCAATCCAAAACACAAAAAACACTGCAAATAATTAAAATTGTATTGTCAGCAATTAAGACACTGCAAATGCGTTGCAGATTTCCTTTGTCGCCCCAGTCATTTTTAATAGTTCACATCGTTTTGCCTAACTCCACAAGGATCGATGAAGTGAATAAAGGAAGTCCAACACAGCATCTTGTTTGTGCTGATAATCACCACATATATCATCTAATTCAACAGAGGCACCGAGACAGGTTTTCATAAAAGAACACCTTATAGGAATGAGATGAGCTTTGTGGTTATGTAAATGGACAGGCATGCTCACACACAGGTAACAATGCTAAGAATCACGTTCACTCAGACTGATGATGATGAAGTGGGTTTATCCCCTTAATTACAAAAAAGATTAACCGCTACCTTAAAAACAGTAGTGTATGCTACCAGCTTTCTCCTTATGTGGCCCAAGTTCAAGAACGAACCCTATCTTAGTTGATGCGCCCGATACTCGAGTACTCATTATTAAGCTAGCAATCGGTTTCCGTTCCTCTGACTCAGTTTAGCGACACTGGATCACACAGATACCGTTTGGCTGGAGACTCCGAGATCATGGTCACCAGTGGTTTGGGATGTTGTGTGATACGGCTGTGTCGTAAACAGTGGCACTCGTGCATCTACTCAATATTCTATCAACCCGTCTATTGGAATTCTCTATCTTTTCCATGACTTTGTCCTCAACATTTCAATCTTCATTCTGCTCTTTGAATCAAATGGGCAGCCAAAAGACAGCAAACAAAACGAGTGCATGAAAATGCATGGGTAATGGTTGTAAAAACTGAAACTGAGTTTAGAGAAGCTGCATACTGGTTGACCTGACTAAGCTTGGGACCAACAGTTCAACAACTGAGGCCCATCAACGGTCCGGCTTGAACGAGAATCCATTTTCGTCTCTAGGATCCATAGAGGACCGGGGTTCAGTCAGCCCAAAAGATGTGCCTGTGTCAATTAATCATAGAATGCTATCCATGCAAAACACCTCGTTTGTCTCACCGTTTCCGCGGCCGCTTTTGCTGCCTCCGCTGCGGCTGCTTCTTTCATTTCGCGTTCTTTCCGTTTGCGTTCAATTGTCTCGAAAAATTGTTCTTCAGTTTTGCGAATCAATTCGGCCATTTCCTTGGGATCCATTTCATCCTCACCCTCTTTTCCGGCTTCTTCCTGAGGAGCAAACAAACAATCGATCAATTATGTGTCACTGTGATTCACACTCTTGTCAAGACTTAAGTCAGTTGAAGAAAAAACAAACATTTTCCTGTAATTGACTCACATGTAAGGAAGGGTAGGGGTTTCGGCTCGCTACGCGATCGTGTGAGTTGATTGAGTCTCAACCCAAGTTCAAGAAATACGCACTGCTGACGAGTCCGAACAACGACGACACACTCATCCCGTGCTGTTTGCCGGACTTTTCAAACATTTTTTTCTCAAGCCACATACATTCAATATGTGTAGAATTAATAAACTTTCACTGAGTAAGGCTCATAGGAGAACATCGGCACACAGTCCCCGGCACCTTTGGATTCACACTGAATAATGCAAGAAGTTATTTATCTTGTACCTGTGTCGGTATTTGTTTAATTGGCCATTATTTTTCTAGACATTCCTCAAAATAATATAGCTCTGAGAAAAGATTTAGTTTCTTACCATGATACACGACCGTATTGTACATATGGAAAGTTCTTAATGTGATAGAAAGGAAAGTTTGTTACAAGCAAGGTATCTCGTCATTGTTGGGACTCATTAGTTGCAGGTTGTACTATTTTGGTGTCCATGCCAGGAGTTGAACCGTAAATCCTTAATTTGCAGGTGGAAACCTTCATTATTGAAGTACTCGGTCCAGAATCGATCTGTTCACGTGAATTCACAGATAGAATGATAAGGTCATCATGTCTGTAGACTCACGTGAATAATATCAGAAGAATATTAAAGTTGTTCAAATTGTTGTTTGGCAGATTTGAAGATTGTCCATTGTGAAAAGTTCAATAGCCTCGGTGGAATTCAAACCCACGCAAGGACGCCGCCTACGTTTTGTACGCTCACGCTCTACCAGCTGAGCTATGAGGCACAACATTCATGTTGTTACCAATGCAAATGCTTATTGGACCATAGTTGACTTACAATCACGAAGGCAAATATGTAAATTGACGCGTTTGAAATGTGTGAATATTCACACCGTTGTAGAACACAGTAAGATGAAGTTTGACAGCTTCGTGCGATTACTTCCATAAATGAACAGTACAATCGGGCGTCCGTTTTGACTGTCGTGAGATAGCGAGGCAGCTACTTGGGTTTTATTATTACAGTGTATTGTTGTTTACTGGACCAAGATGGTTTATCGATCGATCGATCAAAAAAACTACTTGCGTTAGTACTCGGTACAACTTAGTTCTAGTCACTTGATGAGATGGGCTTGTGGTCCGCCTGAACAGATAGCCCTCAGATAACATTTGTTCATTACGAATGTATGAAAACTCAATGTCGGTCGAAACGGTCCCGATGCACGTAAGATACGTTTACGACAAAATCATCTGACCAATTTGATGGAATTAAAATCCATGTTTGGTGGTACGGACTTACAACAGCTCTTCGATTCTGCTATTTTAGTCTTCTGTAAGAACCTTACCAATTACCTCAACTGTTGTTATGATGTGTGCTGCCCTCAGGAAAGGATTCATCTACAGCCCAACCGATTCATCTCCAATAGACTGAAATGGTTACGAAGGCTGAAAGAAAGGGCGTGTCGCTCGAGAGATAAACTGACGGTCAAATCTGTCAACTTTCATATCAGAAGCGAGATAGCCAATCTCAATCAATTGTATGCTGACACCATGCTAGGAAAAAAACTGCCGTCAGCTTTGCAACGGACTGAAGTTGCTCTGTGGTCGTTCAACTATACCTACTACGGTCTCATGTGATATCAATGAGCTCAACAAATCATTGGCTTCAGTGAAAAACGTTGTGCAAGCTCTACCGAGTCCAAACACAATGTCACTTGATTTCCACCTTCCTATGTCTGTCACAACAGAGCAAGTTTTAAAGGAGCTAAATGCTGTCAATGGAAATAAATACGCTGGTCCTGATGGGTTATCCCTAATGGCCCTTAAAACATGTGCAAACCACCCAGCATAAACCGTTTCATTCAGATTTAATACATGTCTGTCAGAAGCAAGACTAGTTAACACATGGCGTGATGTGTGCATCACTCCAGCACCCTAGAAAGAAAAGCGTAAGTTTCGGCCTATTACCTCATCTTCAGTATTACTTAAGGCTTTTGAGCGTATTATTATTAAACACCTATCCTCTAATCTTGATTTTCTTGATTCCAATCAGTTTGCTTATTGTAAGCGTCGCTCTACTTTAGATGCGGTTGCATGTCTTATACATTCTGTTTCATCCACTATAGACCAAAAACGCAAAATTGTTCACGTTTGCTTCTTTCACTACACAAACGCCTTTAATTCCGTCGACAGAAACATCCTATTGACACTGCTACGGCAAAATAATCTCCCGCCACATCTTTTGAATTGGATGCACGACTATTTTACCGACCGACACCAATTTACTTGTCCCAATGGTATTAGGTCTTCTACTGTTACTGTAAATCAGGGTGTTATGCAGGGAGTAATTTTATCCCCTTTTCTGTTCTCCTTTTATATCCAAAATTTGCCAGTTACCCCAAATGTTTTCACTTTTAAATATGCCGATGACATAGTAGTTGGTGGTGCATCTCACAACAACAACATTTCAACTAACCCACTTCAATCAGCCATAAGTTCCATTTCTGAGTGGTCCGATGTCGTTAATCTTTCTTTAAACCCCAAGAAATGCATTGAAGTTTTGTTTTCTATTGACCGTAGACCATCAAATCTTTCTGGATCATCTGTTTCCAATATCTTCATCAATAACTTAAAAGTTGAAAGTTCAAAACACTTCAAATATCCTGGATGTTTCGTGTCTGCCGACCTCAAATGGTCCTATCACATAGAACAGATTTCTTAAAATCAGAAACTTGACCTTTGATATTTCACGCCTTCGGCATCTGAGGGTGCCATTGTACATCATCTCCAAATTTATTTTCTCATACGTTTTATGCCATTGAACCTACTGCTCTCCCGTTATCTTCCCCGGTCTACTGTCCAAGAATTTCATATTAATTAGACGCATTCTGAAAAGCATCTCTATATATGGAGCCGTATCTTATGAGGAGTCGGATGATTTTATTGTCAGCCAACACCTGAATGCGTGTGACCGTCTGTGTGACTCTATCTTGTCCGATGCGTCGCATCCCTTACACAAATCTCTATCTAGCTCCATCTCAACTTCTGTAACCCGCAATTAATTTAAACCTTTATATACTCGTACCACTGCTTTTCACAACTCCATTGTACCTTACCTTTCACGTTTGTTGGTTTTTAGGGAGCGAATACCAAATGAACTTATACGCGGTCTAATGTAAATTTCGACATTGAAATTTTCTATTTTTTACGCGTTCTCGATGTCCGACCCATTATCATCTCAGTAATTATTTCTCATATTTTAAAGCTCATTTATAATAGCGTGCAATGCCAAAACAAAAGTGATCACATTCTTTTCACTAAAAAATCTGTCCTTATTGAATGGTAAGAGCGCACTCCTGACTTGACTTGACTTGTTTCAGAATCTAAATCAATAATAAAGAAGTGAGATGACGGACCGGAAATCGCTAATCAAGGCCAACCTGAAAAAAAGGAAATGCAATTTGCATATGTAACTAAACTAGAGCGATCACGCATTGATTAGTGTGGTGACCGTCTAGAGAACGTTAGATAGTATACTAAACGCTGTTTACTAATCGTCAATATTTTTCATCACTGAACTATTACAATTCTGTGCGAAATACAATTACTGTTTGTGAGATTTTTACTAAACGCCGTAAAACTGTTTTCATGATGAGTACGGTGACGCATCACTTGAGTGATTTGTTGTCGCATCGTCGTACTCTGTCACTTGTGAAATATTCCAGCTGCTTGGAGAGTGAAGCCTGTCACACCGAAGGATAATTTTCTTGAGGCAGTTCAACCGATCGACCTGTTTAACTGATTGCACTTGCATGCTTGTTTCTGATAAACAACTATCTGTTTTCTAATTTTTTGTGCCTTCTCATGTTTAATCCACCACACCCTTACCTATCGTTTTTAAATTCATGCTTTTATTCGATTCTGTCTCTGAGATCGATAAGAGCTTTGTACAGACTGAACTAACGGACAGGACCGTACATCCAGATTCAACCCTTGCTTTTATTATGTTAGCACACGCACACACACACGCACACACACACTCACACAAAATCACACCGCATTTGGCCTCTAGCACTACATTGGTTGATCATATGAAGGTCACCAGTCACCCTATGTGCCCTCTACCCCACCCTGGTGTTCCCGCGTGACTCTACGCTCGCATTTCAAAGTTTAAACTCTGCGGCACCCACCGCCCATCTCTGCGCCATGTATGCTTTATGCTTGCTCTTCCTTATGCCTCAGCTGTTTAATCCTTCCCGTTACTGTCATATCGCTAGAATGGATCGTATGTTCCACTGTACTTTGTAATGATGTTTCTGCTTTATACCAGTCCCAAACCACTGATGATCAACAGCCCGTTTGCATTCGCACTGTCCGCGGCTCATTGGAAGGGATGATAATCGTACGCAAAATTTTACTTCTGCGATATCTATTGACCGTGATTTCGATTTGATTTGCGTTGAGACAAGTAGCCCAACATCCCGTCGTACGGATTCCGCAGTCACGCCGAGATAACGAATGAGAATTGTGCATTGGGAATAAACAGTCAAATACAGTCTGGATAATGAAATTTGCAGGAAATATTAGGCTCGACGGGTGAATTTTCAAACCAGTATACTGTGCAATGAGAAGACAAAACCTGGTTAGAAAACAAGGCTGGAAAATGCCCATTGTACCCCAGAAAGCGGACCGAAAGAATGACAGTTATTTACCGTACCCGTTCATATCGCGTTTGTTATTCTGTCGTTGAGATCGATAAGCGCTTTGTTCAAACTGAACTAGTGAACACGACTGCACCGTTTCGGATTCAGACCCATACTATTAGTTTGCCAGCTAATGTCCGTGAACAGACAGACATATCACACTCGGCTTCTAACACCCCATTTGGGAGGGGGGGGGGCACATGAAGGTCACCAATCACCCTCATGTGCCCTCTACCCTTCCCTGATTTTCCTTGTTTGACCCTAAACTTTTATTCCAATGTTTGAACTTTGTGTTACTTACCCTGTAAACCTGGTGTTAAATTGTAAAATATAAATGTCTTTTTACTTCCTTTTTTATTTATTGAATTGACATATGTACAGACAGCATTCAGGTAGGGGGGCAGTGGCCATACAAAGGCTGCCTTAGAAGACGGACGGCGGCATTGGGGCGGTTCAAACCTGGGACTCTCGGATCACAAGTTGGTGACCCAACCTCTTGGCCACCACTGCCCTTTCATTTATAGTTCCCGTCAGTCCCTGCCACCTCATTCTGCTCATTACTGTCGCACCGCTACACTTTATCATATCTTTCGTTCTATTTTGCAATAATGTTTCACTTGGACTACAGTATGCACGTGTACAAATGCAGAGAATAGACCGTGGATAGATAGATACATTGTGCAGATCCATTATTCTGACTACTCCATTCAAATTTGTGACGGGATAACAATGTTTTCCATAATGTTTCTGTTTATTACCAGTCATAAACCGTTGATCCTCAACTGCCTTCTTGGATCCTCACTGTCCGCCGACATATCTGTTGAACACCGTTCCAATTTGACTGCGTTTGGTTGAGTAGCCCAACTTACGGCAGACACTTATTAGGCCGTACGGATTCTACAGTGACATGGAAACCACAGATCACATGGCTTAAACAGAGAGAGAGAGATTTGTTAATCAGTTCAATGCCTGATCCATACCGTGTGAGCCACAGTGTGGCACCATTTATCTCGCTTACATCCGTCAACGCTTTGCCACGGGTTGAGGCTGAACAGTTGACTGATTTTCCATTTGCACGAAGACCGAGCGATGCATCCATCAAAGCATGACAATGCGGTGCTGTGTGGATGAAACTGGTCAAACTCAGTGAGTGCTTTTTGCGTTCCGAGTAGTCCACATATCTTCCAGATGACATGTGCGCGCGCATGTGTTTGTGTGCACGTGACATTTCATCACTAATGGTGATTACCTTCCCAGTTCCATGGACGTTACCCTCGGGGTTCCATAGGGATCTGTGATTGGCTCGCGACGTTTCATAACATTCGTAAACGAAATACCGGAGCAGCTCATCTCTGGTCTCTATTGAACAATATCGAATTCAGTGTGCTAAAGTGTAAGGTTCTATCTCTTCGACACAAGGGGCGATTTTCGTTTTTTCTCGGAAATGGAAAACTGCCACACACCTCAACTGAATGGAAACTGGGTATCATCATTCGGGTGCACATTCAACTGCGCCAGGGTGTTCAACGCAGCTGGAAACAAAGTCGCTCTGCTTCGTCGGATCTTTAGCCGATTTGAGTCAGCGCTTCGCTCCCCCCTCCCTATAATCAGCATAAATTAGCTCACTCACAGAGCACGCTATCCAGGCATGGAATCCATAGCTACAACGTGATTGCAAACTGCTAAAGCATTCACAAAGGATGGTCACTAAAAGAAATAGGGGGTTTGAATCGATATTCATACGCAGAAGGACTGAAGTTGCTGGGAATATATTCTAATTACTACCGGTCATTAGAGGAGACATGACTATGGTATACGAAATAATGCAAAACCCAAGCCATCCATGTCGCCCGCTGCCAAAAGTATCACCCAACATTCATCTTAGGGGACATCTTTTCAAACTAGTGGTCTCAAAATGCCGACTGGAATGCCCGCGTCAGTCACTCGCAGTCAGAGTGTGTTCGATCTGGAACTCTCTCTCTCACCCCACGTCGTCTGTGAGCCAAGCATTGAATCTCTCAAACTGAAACTCGATGAAGCCTTAGCACACCTTACATTCCAATGTAAGTGAAGCCGCGTACAGCAATCGATGGATTCCGTATCACGTGACATTTTACACAAGGAATCGTATGTATCACTGGCTATTTACCACAACATGAAACTATGGGACGAGAAAAGCACGAACTTGTAAGTTATTCTCACAAAACATATTTGAATCTTTGAGTCCACCCTTCAAAAATGAAGAAAATTTTCACTATTTGACAAATCAATAACGAATAGAGATACTGATGTCATTTTACGGAACAAATGGATTCATCATCTCTCCCAATTGTTTATTGCAGAATTCCACGAAATACACTAAACGTGTACACATGTCCCGTTTCGCTGCAGGTTTTACTGACCAGCAGTGAGCGAGTCTGTGAAGAGTAGGATTTACGCAATAGAATTTCACACATCTCTGAATCAGCAGATTGGGATTCATTGTGACGACGAACAATCGCCTAACGTGATTAATAAATCGCTTATGGACAAACCGTAAAATAAAGTATTTGGATTGCTATTGTTCTGTCTTCAATACCCGCAGAATTTTTAAGCACACAAATCAGATTTGGGGAAGCTGAATAGTCACTGTCGTCCTCAAAATTTCTTGTATTACTTGGTTTTAACTTAAAAACAATAGCGAAGACGTGACAAATTCTTTCCGAGTATTCCTCGACTGCTCGATAAGGGTTCGCACTAAACACTTGACAATGTTGATAAATAAATGCACTCGCGGCCGGTGAAATAATTTTTAGCAATGCAATGCTGGGTTGACCCGATGTGTCAACACGCATACTCACGTTTTCGTTCGCCTATTTCACCGCATTTCACAAAACGCAGCTAACTTCACCCAACCTCCGGTATACACACACACACGCACACAAAAGCAGTCAAACGATTGATCTACCAGGATATCCTTCAGACCGGGAGCATTTTCAGAGGATGATGATACATCCTTTCTTTTGCTGCGTTTTTATCACAAGCGAATTGTTGGAAGGAACGAGTTTACCGCAGGAATGACACCAAAAAAGACCAAATATAATAGCGTTTGTTGGTGACGGAATCAGGAATTATTGCTCCCGTTTCAACCCAATTTCACATCCTAGCGACCGCATCAAGTCAACAAGCAACAAGACCATGCAGCCGGCCGACCACAAACGAATCACTCTGGTCCAGTGTCATTCGGGCCAACCATACAGCTATTGCAGACGGTCCTTAGATCTCTTCCCGGTCGGAGATATAAACCGGGAAACGACAACTGCAGAGACAGTTTCAGTGGTGGTGATCAATGTACCGGGAATCCGACTACGAACAGAGTGACGGCCGGTTGGCTCGGGATACAAAAACCTGTCGGTCTGCACAATCGGCACAACCTTTTGCTTGTTCGACAAATAAACGGTCAGTGACTCGATCGGACCATAGATAAGGCTGTGGGATAGTCAGAAAGAGACTCGTTAACCTCTTTGCTGGACTCCGGTAGATGAGCCGGTTGCACCGATTCATCGGAGCAGAAGGTGCGATACTGTGCGTGTGTGAGAGAGAAGAAGAGGTTTGTGAACAGACGANATGGAAGAGCACAGAAACAGGTGTGTGTGTGTGGTGTGCGTTTGTCTGAGGTGGGAGGTGGGTTTAAGGCAAAAGCAAGAGAGAGAGAATAAAAGGTGTGGATGATCATTTGCAAGCCGTCGTGGGAACAAGCCTTCGGCCGGCATCAACCGGGCAGTAGCCGGTGGTTGGAGAGACTTATTTGAATAAAGATGCCCATCTGAATGGTGAGGGTGATGATGATGATGATGATGATGATGATGTAGGTGGTGATGCTGCAGGTGACTGTGATTACATTGCGGACAGCGAAGACGGTCGTGAGGAATCAATCATTGGATTTTACGTACCCCAGATTCTTTCTCAGACAATGGAATGTTGATTTGGATCACCTGAGTTTGGGGGTGATGAGGTAGGGCGAAGTGATTTAGATGGGGAAAAAACCGGTGGCGATGGTGAAGGGATCGAGAAGCAGGGTCTGACCGGAATGTGACTACCGGTTGTTCTCTGATTTTTCCAAGAGGAGAGTGGTGAGGCCCTGGATGTGTGAGAATTTGGGTTTACACGCACGTGTTTACACCGAAATTGGAGTGTGCGAGCGAACGGGCATAAACATCAGTCGTGAATAATTCGGTTGCATCTAGACTGTACTGAATGTGGAAAACATAAGACTGAGGACCGTTGGGATTACCTCGTGTATTTTTCACATTTTGTACGACACACNTGTACGACACACTAGGTTATTTGCTTAAATCTGATTAGATTTAATTAAACGTATCTGGCTAGGGATTGAGTCACACTGTTGTTGTTTTATTAAATTTTCATATTCAAACAAGTTTTTGTCGGGGGAAGCATGCTTTATCCAGGGGTAGAACCACTTGGTTCGGCCAAAAGCATTCACGTAACTTCTTTTGACGACGGTATAGTATACTACTTTAGTAGTATAATCATAACAGAAAGATATGATTTTGAAGGTGATGGTTATTTGTGACGACCAATACAGAGCTGCTTCGACCCATTGAGCCGCATCAGCACCAAGCGATTATATTTTATCCATATCGGTATTCGAATCACAAATCACTAAGCAGAGAGATGACTTCTTTATTGCTGAGCTAGACAGGGTGATTTTTCCTTGCATTAAGCGATCATGCACACGAATGGATATCATAATTATCCATTACTGTCCTCGCACCAGTATCGGGATCATCTGCAGAAAAAAAAAATTACGCTAACCCATGTGTCTGCAAACGTCCATGGACGATGCACCAGAACTTCGATTTTAAACTGTATATCAAAGAGCATATGAGGAACTGTTCGTTGTCGACCGTGTAGTCGTCAAATTTTCCGGACCCACCCGAAGCTTTGAGGTTCGAGTCCGGCCACATACAAAAGACACAGTTATCGGTAACGCGTAGTTCAAACAAAGACTTTATTTGCAGCTGGGTTTTAAATGTGAATGATCTGAGCCTCAGCATATCTTAGAAAATTTGAGTTTCATGTGTTGTAAATAACCGGCAATACGTAGATTCGATTAACACAGTTTTTATTCATAGTGAGCATAGTGAGTAGCCTAAGCTGTACATTTTTCTGCCTAGTCAACGTAACACTTTCAAACTTGTCATTCATTGTTTTCATAAGCTTCCGCCCGTGTGTTATTTCATACGGTAATGTAACTGCCATTCTCTCCCTCTCTCAACCTGTGTAGATGATCGAGCATCTCCAATTGAATTGATAAATAAAGTTGTACGAAAATATTCCCCACCTGTGTGTTCAGGAGAACACAAATGAGATCTTTATCCGTGGCAACCTAACTGGCTAAGTACAGCACAATGCGTAGCCCACTAAGGGGTGAGGTAGGCGAGAGAGAAAGATGATTACAATAGGAATCAGATTTCGGAATGAAATGATGTAATTCTGATGAGCAATGTTGTGCAAATATAGTAGGTGCGTGTCTGTGAATGATGGATACGGGTAAGATGGGGTTGGAAATAACAGAGCGAGAGAGAGAGTGAACAGACCAGAGTTCGGGAACAGTTGCGGTCTGTGGAAACAGTCCATGATTCTTACGCCGATGTTATCGGGTGGTAGTGCAAACAATAGATGAGTCGAATGCGTATAGGCCATCCTCTATGGCGAAGTTCAATCTCGTGTTAACCAATCCGGTGACATCATCACCTTTGCAAGGTAGCCTTGGGCAAGCTTTTATTGTTGGGAACAGTTATTGTTTTCTGTGCCTTCGGTGTTGCGTTAGCAACTGTATATGGATTTACTGGTAGTTTCTTTCATGAATTCTCTGGCGCCTATGAATTCTTTGTGTAAACCTAACCGGTTTCATGTCACATTAAACGGCGAAGTTCGTGATCAGCAACCGATTTCCAGACCTCATTCCACCATCGTGGTTCATTCAAACCACGGATATTCTAATGGATTCATCCAGTTCAATGGTTATACACCAAAACGCGTTGTGTTCATCGATTCTCTCCTGACGAGTTAACGTGATGGGTGTCTGTTGAGTTGATGAACCTTGTTCATAATGAGAATTTTATCTATATGGTAATAGTATCGATAGCAATTTGAACTACCCTCTTCTCACTTTTTGTTGATGCGGTAGACTACGATAATGAC